TATTTTTTTGATATATGAATTTATAATTTTAAATTAGAATTTTTTAAATAAATTCGGAATATTCAATTAAATTAAATTTTAATGATTACATATATAAATAATAATAATTATATAAAAACTACATAAAGAGAGTTGGTTTTTTAAAATATTTTTTTATTTATATAAACAAAATAAAAATAATAAATATATTAATTATTAATTATATAAAGATAGTTTATAACTTAATTTGTAATTCAAATCAAAAATAAATCAAAATTTATAGTATATGTTATATATTAGATACTGGCTATAGCTTTATATATATATATATATATATATAAAGGTAGCTAAGTATAATTTTAGAAATTTTTAATTTCTTATTAAAAAATTATACAAAAAAAAAAAATAAACATTTACCTGAGACATTTTGCCCACCTGGAGGTCCTTGATTTTGATTTGAATTTGGATTCCCAGCAACAGATCTGTTTACACTGCTTCCAGTCCAATTACCAGGTGCTCCACTATTTCCAGAAGGATTTCCAGAATTTCCTCCCCAACCTGATTGATTATTGTTGTTATTATTTGTAGTACTAGTTTGTGTAGAACCCCAATTTGCAGATCCACCAGTATTTAATGAACTTTCACCTCCGCCAATCAATCTAAGATTATCAGGGATTCCCCATCTTTTTTTATATGCCAAATTAAAATCATCAAGATCGCAAAGTGGTCCAAAAAGAAGAGTTAATATATGCTTAAGATCAGTTTTAAGAACTTGTAAGATGTCTTTGGAAACTCCAATGGATGCTGCTATGAGATTTCTTGCACAATCAATCAAATGATTTCGAGTCATATCATTTGCGTAATTGATATTCTTTTCCTCCGGAAAAAGATTAGAAATTGAATAGTTTCTATTGAAAATTTTTTCCGATGGAGCAGAAACAAAGTTTCGATCGGAGTTTTGTTCATTTTTCAAATAAATAGCAACTTTAGATTTTTTAGACTGATTGCTATTAGATAAATTTACTACAATGGCATCTGTTGTCTTCATTGCATTAGAACTCTCACTGTCAATGAACTGGGCAGTTTGAAAAGTCGAACTGGTTAGAATGAATTGCTTAGGATTTATCAGACTTTCTGTGAAAACATCCTCAGCATTAAATCCGATAGCTTTGTATAATGTCTCTTTAAATTGATAGAAATCACAGAAATTTTCTGAAGAAATTCTTTCATTGATTACACCAGTAAAAGCTTGATACTTTAGCTTCATTTGTTTAAATAAACTAGTTGCAATCGCACCACCGTCCATTTCAACGCGGAGGAAATAATGGTTACTGGTTGAGCTGAGCAATATCACAGACTTGTAGTTATCGTTATTATTACTTAAGAGGCTAGAATTAGACTTAATATTATTGTATTTGCCCAAATGAAGGCAGGATCCTAGTAAGGAGTAATTGTCAAGAGAGTCGAGAGAAAAGTGGCATGACGAGGGGCGATCAGACTTGGGTATCCTAACTAGGCTAGGTACCCCTTCATCGATAGCACACTTATCTCCTGTTAATCGTAGATTTACGCTTATACTTAGTACCCTAATGTTTAGTACGCTAAAGCTAGTCTTATTATCACTTAATGTCTTAGACATAGACTTAGAGTTATTGGCGGAGCTACCCGGTTTGTGATTACCGGACGAGCCCGGTTGTTTTCTTTTTCTTGTTTTTTGTGTATTAACTGTTATTATTTTTCGATCATCTTGATGATTATGTTCCGCTCGATATGAGCGATGATTTATTTTAGGATTATTATTATTATTATTACTATTATTATTATTATTGTTATTATTATTATTATTATTATTAATATTATCATTAATATTAGTATTATTATCGTAAGTTAGAAGATGATTTTTTGTTGGGTGTTTTGTGGTTGACGACGCCACTGACTGGCAGGTCGAGCTTCGACTGGTTAAGATAAACTTGCCTAAAACATAATAAAAGATAAAAATTACAATCTATAATTATATTATTTAACAATAAGATCTTTAATATAAATAAAATATTTTTTCTTGTTACTTTTTTTTTAACTAAGTGAAGTTATATTTTCAAAACAAAGTTAAAAATCATTTTTATAAAGTAAAAATAATGGCTTTGAATGATATATAATTCAATGCATATACATATTCCAAAAACAGAGACATTTCAAAGATTTTAAAATTACATTTAATTTTTTTTTTAGAAACAAAGAAAGACATTTAAATCAAAAATTGAATAATTCAAAATGTTAATAAAATTTGATTTATGAAAGACAAATTTATATTTTCTTGTCTTTTATATGATTTTTTTATTTTCATTTCCTTTCTTTCCCCAAAATATATTTATATGATATTATATAATAATTCTCATTCTATTAAAAGCAGTATATATATATATCGTTTTGAATGCTACTTTATATGAAAATGTAATTTTTATTCTTAAAAAAAAAAATTATTAATCACTATTCACTTAATTTTTAATCTTAAAATAGTTTTTAAACAAAATATTTAATTAATTTTTATATGAAATTATATATATAATATTTATATTATATATTAAATATTATATTTTTAATATTTAAAATATATATACACAAGAATTTTAGTTACCAGTTTGGTTCGACAGGACGGTTAAAAAGTCATTGGCGGCGGTATTTTTGAGATGGCTATTAGGTTTGGCCATCATGTTTTTTATGAACTCGATATCACAGTACCTATCATTCTCTGATTCTCTTCCCTTCCCAACCCTTATCGGACTGCTTTCCCCTAATACTACTACATCCCCCTGAAACAAAAAATATCATTATTATAGAATGCCATTTTTTCTTAAAAAAATTAATTTTATGTAATATTTAAAAAATTT